GAGGGCTCTTGCAGGTATATAAAGACAGGATACTAGATCAGCATGTCAGCGGGTCTTCTAAGGGAAAAAAAAATGTCCTGTCCTTAATTACTGAGTTGAATAATTAAGAGTCAAGGAACATGAGGCTCTACCTTGAGCTGTTACTACAAGCACAGTGGGCCACGCTGCGTTTTAGATGTCTCCATCCTTGCACTGTTCAGACCTTTTGTGCCCCTTGGCATGGGCCTGGGAACACTGATCACATGGAATTATGCTGTCTGAGAGTTGCAAAATCTCAAAGCCGGAGGAAAGGAGTGCTGTCACCCTTCTGACCTGCCTACCAAAGCCAGACTTCTACCCATCACGCCCTTGCATCGCAGCAGTTTCAATGATGGGGAGCCCCTGAGATTGAGTGGACCAAAGTTTTCTGTCCCTCATCTAGTTCTCTGAGTCATTAAAAATTGATGTTAAAGTAATATATGCACGTGTAAAAAACAAACACAAAACAAAATAATACCATGGAAGTATTTATGATAAAGAATAAAGATCTCCTCCCCTTCCCCAGGCCTAATCCCCAGGGGTGATCACTATGAACCTTTTTTGGTATGTAAATCCTCCCAGATTTGTGTGTGTGTATGTGTGTGTGTGTATCAGAATGTATGTAAATAAAATTCTTAAAAAATGGGTTCATATTATAAATATTTTATGCATTTTTCACTCAGTATATATCTTTTCCTGTTAGTATTTATGGAGCTCTACTTCCTCTCCTCATTTTCTTAATGGCCTCATAATACTCCCTTATATGGTATATTCCATTATATGTTCCCTTATATGGTCCATAATTTATCTAACCAGATCCGACTGATAGTTATTTATTTCTGATTTTCCCTGTTACAAGCAATGTTTCAATTAATATCTTTGCACATAGATCTTTTGTATTTGTAGGGTAAATTCTTAGCAGTAGAATTGCTGGGGTTTACTATTGTGTGTGAAAAACCATAGATACTGCTACAATGCTTACACCTATTTATTGCCCCACCAGTAGTGAATGAGAGTGTCACTTTCCCCTACTCTCACCAACCCTGGGGTTTTTATGAAATGCTTTGATTTTTGACCGTCTGAAAGGTCACCTTTGATTTGCAGAGGCATCTTGGAAGACAGGCGTGGCAATCTGCTTCCAAAAGGTCACAGTCAAGAAAACCCTATGCAGCAGTTCTATTCTGCACACATGGGGTTGCCATGAGTCGGGGTTGGCTTGACGGCAAGTAACGACAACAAAAAATTATGAATGGCATTGAATATCTTCTTGTATGTCATTGGCCAAATGTATTTCTTTCTCTGTGAACTCTGCATATTTTACCCCCTTATCGATTGAGCTGTTCTGAGGCCATCTTGAACTGACCTTAATAATATTCTAAAAGTGGATTGTGTTAGTAAAAATTGTGAGGATTTTGAATTTGGGCAGTAGTTCCAAGAAAGCAGTTTCTTGGCAATTTGTGAAGCTCAGAGGAGGATGTCTGTAAATTTTGGACTAACTGCTGATTTTTCTAACATAACAACTATGCAAGAAGTTATGAGACCGCCATTGCTTCATCTTGACAAAGTATTGGCTGCTTTTTTCGATGCATATCAGCGTGTATGTTAATGAAATTCTTAAAAAATATGGGATCATATTATATATTTTGAATCTTTTCTCACTCAGTATATATCTTTTCATGTTAATGTTTATGGAACTACCTCTCATTTTCTTCAGTCTCATAATAGTCTATTGATATGGTATATTCCATCATACATTCCGCTGTATGGTCTATAATTTATCTAACCAGAATCCTATTGATAGTTAAGTTTTTTCTAATTTTCCCATTTACGGTCAATGCTACGTTTAATGTTTTTCCACATAGTTCTCATTGTATTTGTTCTGGGAGCATGCAAGATTGGGGTGACTAATACTTTTGAGCATCTACTTTGTGCCAGGTATTGTACAGATTAGTTTAACTAATCTTCCCGTGTTGAAGGAACTTGAAGGGCTCTTCCCGTGCCCACTCTCTCCTTCCTGCATCGTCCGGAGGTTTCCTGGGCTCCCACTTTCCTGACTCGTTTCTGCAGGGTGGACACACTCTCCGCACCTCACACCACATCCTCATTCCTGGAGCTGGCTCTCTCCTTCCTCTGGTTCTGAAGCTGAAATACCAGGAGCTGTGTATTTATCTGAGCTGTTTAATTCAGTAAGGGCTTTGGTGCCCGCCCGCCTCCCTCGCCCGCCCCGGGGCCAGCTGTTTTTGCTGCCTCATTGCTTTTGTCAGGAAGTATTGATCTGACTTGCAGGCTTTATTAAAGCATCTCAAGCTTTTCTAGTGAATTTTCTTATTTTGGACTAGAGTGTTTCTGATTGCCAAGAAAGTTCCCCAATTCCCAGGAGGTATTGACAGATTTTTGTATAAGAAGCTTCTCATAGCTCTCTCTTCAGGACAGTTAAACTCACTGCATGAAGTATCTGGTGGACTCACTGAGCCTAGAATTGGCAGACGGGGGGCACTGACTTGCCTAAGAGTATGCTTCTAGTCCGTAGCAGGGTGAATGATTAAACCCAGGTATCTTGACTTTTGATCTGGCATTCCTTTCCCTTCAGCATACTGCTTCTAACTCATATTTCCTTTTTTGTCATTTACATGTAACTCATCATCCTTAACAGCTGTGATAAATACCATTCCACAATGCACTGAAAAGTCTTCATCTTTGCCTTCAGTATAAATCACAAGAGGAAAATAATGTTATTTATAAACCAGTTTCATTTTCATGCAAGTCTTATTAGTCATTGTTATGGATTGAATTGTGTCCCCCCAAAAGATATGTAGCACGTCTGAACCCCTGGATTGTAACTGTGACCCTGTTTGGAAATAGCGTCTTAGAAGATGTCAGTTAATATGAGGTCATACTGGAGGGGGGTGAGTCTTAGTCCCATCTGAGTGGTGTCCTTATAAAAAAAGAGAAGAAACACCAAGAGGCAGGCAAGGATGGTCATGTGAAGATGCACCTACACTCCAAGGATTGCCCATGGCTACCAGAAGCTGAAAGAGGCAAGAAAAGATCTTCCTCCTAGAGACTTCAGAGAGAAAATACCCCTACTGAAACCCTGAATTCAAACTTCTAGCCTCCAAAACTGTGAGAAAATACATTTCTGTGGTTTAAAGCCACTCACTTTGTGGCACTTTGTTGCGCAGCCCTAGGAAGCGAGTGCAATCATGATTCCATTTTGCAATTTCTTAGAAATCGTCTCTCTCTTTTTTTTAATGCTTTGGATGAAAACCAAAGCTTATCTCATAAGCCTCCAGGGTGAATGTGATCTTGGTCAGCGCCAGTAGCAGCCTGATGTTTGCGTCTTTACTCAGTGCTAGTCAGACCTCAGATCTGGACGCCAGACATTGAGACACAGTCTAGAATGGGTTCAAAGGAGAGCAGCCAGCAGTGGAGTGAGAGGACCTGAATCAGCGCTATAAGGCATGACTGCGGAGCCCACAGGGCCTGCCCTAGGGAGGAATGTGGAAAGGGCAGTCGCAAGGCTGTTTTCAGATGGCTGAAGGGGGCCAGACAGACTCCCTGGGCTTCAGAGGACCTGTGGGAAGAAGCCATAGGGAGGCAGATTTTGAATAAACCTGAGGAAGAACAGTCCTAACTTAAAAAGCCAAATGGCTTAAATACATCTAGGGATGGGTGCTCACTCTCCCAAGGCGAATTCTTCACTTTTTTGAAAAGTTATATAAGTGGAGATCGATAACTGGGTCAATTAAAGTATAAGACTTAAAGCATCTCAAGGACAGATATTGATCTTACCTGAGTACCTAACCCAGAGCTGGCAGAGCAGGTGTTCATGCAATCTCTCCTGCATAAAGGGAGGAATGGATGTGTGTAGGAAGGGTTATGTCTTGATTAGTGGCTTATCTGCCATCAGAGACAACTTACAGGAATTTCAAGGTAGATCAGGGTAAAAAGGTAGAGGGAGAGATTGTATTCCTGAGTATTTAAGTAAAATCACTTTGCCCTTTTTTGTCATTATCACAAAAGCAACCATACTAGAAAGCTCTTAGGAATTTTCTCTGACTTTTAGAGCTGGAGAGGCCTGAGCTGGTCCAAGTCCCTGGCCCGAGCACCTTCTGCTCCCTCCCCTCCCTGCCGGTGCCACCTGGAGACTGACAGAAGGTGTCACTGACCTGCTGCTCCTGGGCCCACTGGCAAGCACAGTCATACCTCTGAAGCAAATAGACCAAAACCAAATGTTGGCTGAGGAAAAGGACATAATACTATTAAAATGTACCACAATGGATAATTTTTGTCTCACTCTTCATTTGAGAACTAAGTATATTTTCGTATACTATGCATTATAGCTTCTGCAGTATATAATTTAAGGTATATATATATGTGCTGTCTACATATGTAGATTAGAATGTCAAGACATGCAGGAGGTTTTGGAGGACTGTCATAGTAATGGTTACAGTACAGACTTAACCTGGATTTCATGTCTGCTTCTGCCCCTTACCTGTACTGGGACCTTCAGCAAGTTAATTAAACTCTGCATCTCAGTTTCCTTCTCTGCAATATAGGAAAGTTATATCCCATGCATAATTACGAAAAACAAATAAAAACAAATAACTTATTATTATCATCATCATCTCAACAGTATTACCAAACTAATGGTCTGTAACCATGGACAGTGGATTTAAAGGATATTAAAGGTTAGCATTACACTGGTTCACTGCTATTATTACCTTTACCGTGTTGCCAGTGAACTCAGTAGATATTTAGACATCCTCTCAAATGTGCTCATTTAAACAAAGTTGGTTGGTAGGTTGGGGCACCACAGTCAGATTTATCAGTGTGTATTGGCCCCAGGTCAGCAGCAGCAGTCCATCAGCCAGTTCCATATTTGGGTGCTGTAATAATACTGCTGATAACAGGAATAGAAATGAGGAAGCCCCACCCTGGCCTGATGTTGGGTTGGTTTTTGAATCAATAAATTTCCTACCTGTACCTTGTACCCAGACTCCGCTGGTGTCCCGAGTACTGCCACGAGGGTCGATGGGATCAACAGAAGACTTGCTTCCTCTGTACGTGCAGAGCCTGTGGGTTTGTGGCTGGCTCTCTGTCCAGGAAATGATGAATCATTCTGAGGAGAGGAAAGTTCCAAGGTAATCTTTAGATCACAGACTGAGTAATGAGGATGTTTTGATCTTCTCTAGTCCTGAAGGGCCGAGAGGGAAGGTTTTTTTTTTCCTCTGTCAATTTCTTTCTTTCTTTTTTTTCTTTAAATTGTGCTTTAGAGAAAGGTTTACAGAGCAAATTAGTTTCTCGTTAAACAATTAATACACACATTGTTTTGTGACATTGGTTGCCAACCCCGCGACGTGTCAACACTCTCCCCTTCTCGATCTTGGGTTCCCCGTTTCCATTCGTCCAGCTTTCCTGTCCCCTCCTGCCGTCTCATCCTTGCTCCTGGGCTGGTGTGTCTGTTTAGTCTTGTATACATGGTTGAGCTATGTGTATTATTGTTTGTTTTATGGGCCTGTCTAATCTTTGGCTAAAGGGTGAACCTCTAAGACTGACTTCAGTACTGAGTTAAAAGAGGTCCGGAGACCGTACTCTTGGGGTTTCTCTAGTCTCTGTCAGACCAGTAAGTCTGGTCTTTTTTTATAAGTTTGAATTTTGTTCTACATTTTTCTCCAGCTTTCTCCCGGACCCTTTATTGTGATCCCTGTCAAAGCATTCAGTGGTGGTATCTGGCCACCATATAGTTGTGCTGGACTCTGGTAGAGGCTGTGGTAGTTGTGGTCCGTTAATCTTTTGGACTAATCTTCCCTTATGTCTTTGGTTTTCTTCATTCTCTGTGAGGGACGGTTTTGAATTATGGAATTTGAATTTATCTTCTAAGAGGCCCTGAGGAGGGAGAACTGATGAGTGTGAAGATTTTTGAAAATATCAATTCCAGAGCCAGCCACTGAATCCTACTCCTCTAGTCATTTACTAAGGGAGGCAATGACAGTGTAAGTAACTTTTTGCACCATGCTTTCCAGGAGCAACTAACCTGTTCAAATGCATCATCTCGTTTAACAGCCCCACCACCAGCAGGTTAGGCTTGGTTAGGGGAAAGCCTGGGCTCACATGCATGTAGCTAGTAAATGCTGAAAAAGACAATCAAATCCAGGCCTTCTAACCCCAAATTTTGTGCAGTTTTTAAGACTCTTTTACCCTTTGTCTTTTATGGCCTATTTGTTGGCAAAAAATTTCTCAGGTGTTTGCAGTGAATTTTGTTTGCAACATTTATGAGCTTTATGTTTCTGGGAGAGAAAAATCCCTGTTTTCTAATTTTTTGATTTGTAAACTTTCCTCCCCTCATATCCATACTTGCCAAGCTACTTAGAAAGTGGTGGGTGTGCCTTGGTGTAGCACTTTATGATGTAACAAAACAACAACAGCAACAAACAAAAAACCCCAAACACCTGGTTCTTTGTGTAGGATAGAAACTTGATTTCATGATGTTTCTATGACTGGTCATGGAATCTCATGAAAGTTTCAGCTCCATCAAATTCTTGAGTTTCCTCTACAACCTCTTTGCCAAGTCGTGGTTTAGTCTCTTTGATTACTCCTGTTAATGATGAGCGCATTCTTTCTAAGGAGCCAGTTATTCTGTAAAGCTTGGTCTCATAGATTCTGCGTTGGATCTGAATCCACCTGTCTGTAAGTTCTGATTGCTTAGCCTGGTTCTGCCCTTCAGAGTCACCCAGCACAGCGCTAATGCCTTTCCCATTTGTTCAAAGCTTAGATGAGGCTGGATACTTCTCTCTGAATCCTCATTTATTTTATAGTGTCCACTGCCAGAGCACCCTTTGCTTCTTGCCTGCTTCTGACCTTATACACCATTACCCAGGGCTCTAGTGCCGAGGGGTAGAAGGAACGGACCTGGCTGGGGCACCCGTGACCTGAGCTACTCCTGAAGTGCTTAGGGCTGAAAATAGGGAAGGTGGGTTAAAAGAGCCCCAGTGATGTGCAAATGGCATACCCCTAGTCTGTAATCGGGGTTGTCTTTGTTTGGGTGACTTTTAGATTTTAATTACAATCTGTGATGATCTATACAGTACTGAATATCCTGTAAACATGTGCTAAGTATTGTGGCATTTAGAAGTACATGATTATGATTTGTTTTACTAAAATTATACTAAGATTTTTCTTAACTGGGTCTTGTTCATTTCTACCAGTTTTATCCACTTGAGATGGAGGAGGCAGCATTATGAAAGGAAGACAGGGGAGAGTTGGGGTCTGTTTTGTTTCTTACGGCTACTGTAACAAAATACCACAGACTGGGTGGCTTATAAGAACAAAAATTTGTTGGCTGGCCGTTCTGGCGGCTGTGAGTCCTAATTAAGGGAGTCAGCAGAGCAATGTTGTCCCTGTCCACTCTAGGGGAAGATCCTTGTCTCTTCTAGCTTCCAGCAGCCCCAAGAGTTTCTTGGGGTTCCTTGGCATGTAGATGCGTCTTCATCTGGCTGTCTTTCCTGTGTGTGTCTGTCTCTGTGTGTCTTCTCCTCTTTTATAAGGGGAAATAGTCCGATAGGTATAGTTAGCTCATGTTAACTGATAACATCTTCAAAGACCCTATTTCTAAATAAGGCCACGTTCATAGGTACCAGGGGTTAGGGCTTCAGCATATCTTTTTTGGGGACACAATTCAGTCCACAGCAGAGTCTAACCTGGACTCCTGTCTTAACTCTGCCACCTACTAGTCATGCTACCCTGAACACCACATAACCTTGGTGCTTCTGGTTCCTCCTCAGACGTGGCGGTAATGATACTAATCCTGATTACTTTGCAGGATTATTTAAATTTGTATCAGAGGAGATCACATATATGAAAGAGCTTTGTACACTGTAGAATGCTATCAAATGTAACATGGAGGTTTTCATGGCCTTCTACTTAGGATTTAATTAATGGTAGGTAACATGTTAAATTTGCCGTGATGCTGAACAGGTTTCAGCAGAGCTTCCAATCTAAAACAGAGTAGAAGAAAGACCTGGTGATCTACTTCCAAAAGATCAGCCAGTGAAAACCCTATGGATCACAATGGTCCGATCCCATTGTGCATAGGGTCACCATGAATCGGGGGACAAGTCAATGCCAGCTAACAACAAAAACAACAATGTTAAATGTTTTGAGCATAAACATGATGGGTGCTGGGAATGATGTGAAGGCTTTGGTACCCACACTGTGGTTTTCTAACCCCGTTTAATTCTTTCATATAACTATTATTTTATCCTTCTTATTCTCTCTGGAGTTCTTAGGTGTTCTGCCCGTCAGGTAAGAGGCATTCTCAACTAGGCTACATCTGCAGATCCCTCGAGAGCCTCACAAAAACAAGGATCATTCTCAGGGGGTTATGATGACAAACACAAATTTAACATCAAACAAGCAGCAGGGTTCATTTTCTCTGAGAGGCTGAAATTCTATTTCATTCTGGATGTCCTTTCCAAGATGAATAAAAGATTAGCCTCTGCTGAAATTTGAGGATAGGTATATAATTTGTTTTCTGTAATTCTTTTTCATTTGCTTCTAATACATTTACTCATTTTTCTTTATGTGATGACCTGTCAATTCATTCCTCATTAAAACTCTAGAGGATTGCACCTGTCTTTGTGGCCTATGACACTCTGACTCAGAATTTCTAGGACCCAGTCCTTAAGGTTGTTTGTGCCCTTGATAAGTGGGAACACCCCCCCCCCCCACAACACACATACGCACACACACGCGCGCGCGCAAAACGTAAATCCACAACCTCCCACCATACATCCTATACTGGGTTTTCTACAAATAGTCACCAGTAATAAATAAAGTTCATTTGCTCACTTGTTCCACAGTCCTTCACTCGGGTGCATACATTTGTTTATAATGTTTTAAGAGTAGGACAAAAGCAGCTTTGTGTGTACATCTGCTGCTTCCATTGTACCAATAGAAAAGTGTTCTCAATCAATACAGCATTTTCAGTTTTGGAAGACAGTCACCCTGCAGATTTAATTCAGTTCAATCATTCCAGAAGTACCTAGCTTAATAAACAAATATATAAGATGAGACTCCTGGCAAATGTCGAAGAATGTAGTCAAAGAGAACATGGAAAGTAGTTAAAGAAAACATGGCCATGGATGACTGTGCACATCTTCTGAGTCCCTAGGGTGTGCCAGGCACCATGTGAGGGGCTGGGTGCCCAGAGATGAGCAAACCCTCATCCTTGACCTTAAGGATAGCAGATTAGCACGATGGACATGTGTCTGCTCAGCCACTTGGTGAATGATAGCTAATATTTGTCAAGTAACTGACCTGGGTATGGAGTACTGTCATTGACTGAGCTTGGAGTACTGAGGAGGAGGTTGTTTGCAAACTAACGAGTAGTTTTGGGCCTGTTTATGAAGGAGGCATATCATGGACATCCAGGTTTGGACATCGAGGAGGTTGGAAATAGAGTCAGGGGTGGTTGTAGAACTCTTGTAAGACACTTATTTTTTAAAGAGAAGAAGGGGTGGCAGGAAGAAAGAAAAGATCAAAAGATCTAACAAAAAAGGTGATTATGAGAGTTGTGTTATTGTTGAGACAGTTTTGTGTTAATTTTGACGCTTGTTATGGTGAGGCTTTGTTCATTCTCGCATTCTGATCTTCCAGTCTTCAAGGAGGAGAGGAGGGGAATAGCGTGCATTTAGATGTCACCTACTATGCTGTCATGTTATTTCCAAGAAGCAAACCGTCAATATTAAAATGAAGAAATGATTATTTCCTAGTTAATATGCCTTAAATAACGTTCTAGTTGAGAGAACTAGAAAGGGAATTAAAATCCCTTTTATCCACTTACATAATAAATGTGCAGAACAACTGATTCCTGAGATGATGACAAAGGGGCTAGGCCTGAAGTAGTTCAGATCACCATATTTAGTTTTAGTACTTGATGCTCTTAAAGTTGAACGTACTGTTACTAATGTTATAAATAGAATCCCAAGTAGAAATATACTTTTGGAGTTTTATGTTCCTTGGTGTATTACCTATTTGGGTCTAATATAAGTGCTGTAGTAGTTTCTAACCTAGAGAAGACTATCTAGAAAGATGACATTCCCATTCTGATGGGATGTAATAATCACAGAAAATTTTGTATTAT